TATTTGACAGATCACGTGGGATTTCAGACATGGTGTCAAAGAGAAAGATGCTCAGTATGCTTTGAAATTTCATCATGAATAGACCTAATGCATGAAAATCCTAACCTCAAAAAAATCACCCGTTAGAACGAACAGGGGTAGAAATAGGGATCTAGATAGACAAAAAATTTAACGTTAAGCAAAGGCAGATGTAGATATGTATGTAGACGAAATAGATATGTATGTAACGTAAGTTTCACTTCTCCATTGCGGCCCAGGCGCACTTACTTTTTTTTTAATTTCTCTATATAGTTTGAAATGTGGATTTATATGGCGTTAAATATTATTGTACAGTTTTCGCTATACTTCTGTTGTTTAATATTTAATCTTTTTTTAATATATGAGACATTCTTTTTAATATCGGACATCAAATTTGATGTCACACTTTCGATTAACTTCAAAATTTTTTTATGGGTTCTATACATGAAATAAACTGACACGTGTTGGAGGAATTTTTTGTTTCGCGTTTTTCTTTGGAGATATGATCTGTCAAAGTTTGCATTTTTTCGTGATTTTGACTAATCATGTACTCCTTCAAATCTCGGGTTCTGCCCATCGTAGAGACTTCATCTTAACGTCGTTTTAAAGCTAAAGACAGAAGTATTAAGTTCTATATATAAGGTGGTCAAGATTGTCCTAAAGCTAACTTAACTATTAACAGTTAAACTTTTTGAAGTTTATTTGCATAGTGAAGACCAGTGAGTTAGGGATTTAAAATTATACCATCGCAATCCTTTTTTAATTCTCCATAAAAAACGTGGTTCAAAAACATGGGGGTTTTTCAAGAACTATTTTTAAAAAATTTTTCTTTATGACGAGATGGTTTATTTTGTGAGAATTTTTTGCAATTTGTTTTCCAAAACTTATGTTGAGATATATTTAGTAAGGTGTTAAACATCGAGTTTTTGCAAGAATTAAAATTTTATTTGCAGAAAATTTGAAGCGAATCGGAGATGAAATAATTTTTTTACGAAATCCGTCCGACCTAAAAAAGAATGGCTCATATGTCTAGCTAATTATACATACACATAACACCGTGCGACAGGCAATTTTACACACAAAGATTCAATATATTCACGAAGCCAAGGGCCAAATGTATGCAGTAAAATAGCGTTTTTAGCTTTTCTCTCTGACGTCAGGATTTTTTAAAAGGGCTTTGAAAATTGAATAATATGAGTAATTCAAAAAATGGTTTAAAAAATGTAGTGCAGTGTACTTAGGAAAACAGTATGGGTATCAAATTAAAGAGAAAATTCTGTAGAGAAAGAACATATTAAATTTTTTGATGCATAAGGTATTAAAAATGTCCTTAAAAATTGTATGCTTGAATATCCTCAAAATTTTGTAATATTTATTTTGAAAAAATTATATGTTTAGGACTGATATAAACTCTACGACGTCCTCGAATATAGACTTTCTAATTTTATTAGCTTAAAAAAAAATTATAAAAGGGGCATTTCAATATCTGTTCGTCCTTTTGAACCCGAAATTTATGTATTTGGGCCGTAGTGTCTTGAGTATATTGATTGCTTTGTGTGTTTTAAATTTTTTTTTTTGTTTCAAACTGTTTCAATCTTTTTACTCAGAATTTTTGTACGCAATTTTATAAGTATAGCCCATTAAATTGCAGGAGGATAAAGTGCAAGTTTCAAGTGATTAAAAGTAACATTGATTTTTGTCACGAATTTTTTTCCATATACAGTATGTTCGGAAATTTGTTTATATGGTAGAAAATGCCCAGCATCGTTTAAAAAATTCCCAAAATAAACGGTATTTTGTAATTGCATGAAGCTTCATTTTACCCTACTTTAATTTAATGGGCTATAAAACTGCGTACCTAAATTTTTTCTAAAAATGCTGAGTAAAAAATTTCCAATTTTAGTAATTTTTTTTGCATTTTTATAATTTTTGTACAAATTATGAAATGCGCATTTATTTGCAGTTAATTATAAAATGAGATAGACTTTTATAAAAAAATTTAAATATTAAGTAAAGAAAAGAAATATAGACTAAACTGGTTGAAATAAGGCGTTTATTTTATTTCTACCACTAGTATTATGACCTTTTTTCAGCCACACAATACATATCTAGGGCTTATATTCAATACCCTCTATCTGCAAAAACTCAATTTTTCAGGAGAGCAAAAAAACTGTTTTGGCAGCTATTTTTAAAAGTGTTAATAATTTTAAGTACCCACGCATGTCTTAAAAATTCACGCTATATATTAATACTAGGATTTTACCTTTAATTCATTTAATTTTAGTTTAAAGATTAGATAGAGGTTATTGCAATTGAAATTGTAACTATATAAAAAAATTTGCTGGTAGCGGGTTTTGCAGAATAATGAGAATGTCAGTTCTTTAGATGTAAATGTTATGTTAAACTAAGTTTTTAACCCATAAATCACTGGTCTGCAAACTCGGTCCCTTCTATTCCGACGTGGCCAGGTAACCACATAATTTTAATGGTGTTTTTGTGTCGAAAGAGTATTTCACGTGATTTTGAAATTATATGAAAATCATTAACACTGTTAAAGAGGGCTTCGATAGCTGGTTTACTGTCCATGCATATGAGGTAATTTCCTTCGTTTTTAGACGCGTAAGGTACATCTTCTAGCAATTGTAAATGCCGAGTAGTAAGCGGGAAAAGCACCGACGACAATTGTCCAAGTCCTTTTGTTACCGCAAAAGAACACCTGGTATCATATCTGGAACCGTCTGTGAAAATAAGTTCCAGGTCATTTATGAGTATAGAACTGGGCAAATGCCCTTGCGGTAAAGTTTTTACTTTAGTAGGCATCGGAGTAGATATAATGTCTAATTTTTTGATGTAGCTTAATATACGAAATAAAGCTGATTGCTTGTTTCATCGGCTTTTTTTTTGTTGAAAGCAGGATTCAGCGTGAAAGAATAAAGCCTCATTTCTGCAGTGAACAATCTTTGTGATGCGCATCTTTGTTTTGTACTTTACCCCATGCTTATGGTTCTTCTGACTGCTGCATGGTGAGGTGTTTCTAGCAATTTAAGATACTTTTTGCGCAGTGTCCGTAAATTACGAGTCCAAAGTAAATTTTTCCTAATATAAAAGCCCTAATTACATATACCAGTGTAGTTATATGAACTAAAAAATACTTGGGTGATAAAAACTTTATAATATTTAGTCTAGCAAGTAAGCTTAATCTTACATTATGACAGTGCAGCTTTTAAGTAAGTTTATTGTCAAAACTTATTCCCAATATTTTCAATGTGTCAGTATAGCGGATAGGGGTGTCAAGTCCTTAGTCTTAGAAAAAATATAATGGAGCTAACTTTCCCAAAGGCTATATTGAATAAAATAACTGAAAGTGGTGATCCTTGTGGGACACGATTAAAGAGAGGAACAGTTATTGACACGAACAGCGAACTTCCGGTTGTAAAGGAAAGACTTAACAGCATTGTACATCCTGTCACTATTTTTCCAGCGTAATAATTTAGATATGCAGGGGAGGAGGGAAATGGGTATGTAGTTAGAAACTAATGAATTGATTCTATTTAGTTTGGCAATAGAAATAATAATAACAGTTTTCCACTCTTGGTGGCCCTTGAGAAAAAATGGAGTAATGGAGTTTAATGACTCTATATTTGACGGGATATGGAAGATTGCCTGGGCGAAACTAGTTTGACCTAAGATCTGATTTTACCGGTAACATATACATACATACATAGGCACATGTAACTTACCTGTCCCAAAAAATGTTAACAAAAACAATTTTCCAGCATAATTGTGTAAATAGAGGATTTTGCATTTATAACAAAATGTTATTGCAGAGTGGAATTATGAGTGAGAATATAATACCATTAAAGCTATATTTTAAGTTTGACATTATTGTCATGGCTGAAAGATTAATCGGAGCTCACGTTACCATCAAAAACTTCTTTTGGAAAGTTTGAAATTTGCATTTTTTTGGTTTTTGTAAGGAAAGGAGATTTACTTTCATAAAAAAAATAGTCAAACCTTGCTAAACTGTAGAGTCCTAATTTCTCATTTTCTTACGTGTAATTCCTATGGTAAAACTAAAGGCTCGACGCGGAACGTCTTAGAATAGTCGTAAAGAGGGGAGATTCATGGAGGATCATTACTATACCAAATGTTAAAATTTGAGTCTTATTCCGGTTGCGTTGCAGGATGTTTTTTTTTGACGTAGTCTAATGCACATATGTGTATGTATGCACATACATATGTTACATATGTACGATAATAGCACTTCTTTACATTTATACATGCCAACTAAATAGTTATCATATATTTATGTAATAATCTAAAATAAATACAAAAACCAAGAGTACCAAAAACATTATGTTAGATTGCACAGAACAGTTTGAAGTTAGCTGAAACAAACTAACTTTTTTGCCACAGCGTCATGTAAAAGTAGTCAGTTGAAGTAGTCCAGTCGTAGTCACACCTAGTTTAAAAATATTGAACTTATAATGCATTTGCAGTTATTGAGGTCCCTACAGGGTTGGAAAAACCCGCAGTATCCATTTTTTGGATATAAAATTTATTATACTGCAAAAAAAATATATATAGATACGAGCGTTTCATATGCATCATCTGTTAACTACGAGTATTTACTTATTTATGTTATTTAGATATGTACATACATGAACACATAGTTATGCTCATTTCTTAATTGTTCCTTTTCTGTGTTAAGGTTCCCGTGCTTCTGAAACAGGTTCTGAACTGAGCCAAAGTCAGAGTATGTCCAGCTTGGATAGGGACGAAGATGAGCGCATACGACAAGTGAGTACACACAGCTTAATTTAATGAATTATTATTTTTTATTTAGAGAGTTAAATATTGTTCTTTGTTCAATAATTGTATATGAGCCCTCTATATATGCACATATGTACATATGTATATATGCACATTGGTGTTGTTATAATTATGCCACCTATATGATACATATTTGATGTATACAAGTTTGCCTATAGAATTAATTTATGAAATCGGAATTAAAAAAAAAAATAGGCCCAGTGTGAGAGATGGGCCTCCCATTTAATGTATGTATTTACAGTTATTATGACCCAAGAAACTCCTTAAAAAAATATCAAATTTATTGCCGTCTTATTGCGTCCAATTGGGAGCTGTTTTGTGGCTGCTTCGACATGGTTTTATTTAATTGCGGCTTTCAATTCGCCAACCCGTTAGAGGTGTGCGAATAGAGCATCATCTCGTTTAAATCCGAAACATTTAATCTAAACAATTTCTTAATGAGCTAAGTAGTTGTATCCATACTACTCGTTTCTGCTTTCATCTGTTCATTGTATTTGTTTTTCCCACACATACCTTGCGGTAAACAAACAAAACCGATCTTATGCGAGCATAGGTGTGGAAAATAGAAGGAGGGATGGTTGTTAAAGATAATCTACAATTTTGTAAATTTTCTTCTACTCCGTAGGATTTTGAAGTTTTTGCACCGAAAACCGAGACGAATAACGAACCATCAGTATTAGCATCTGTGGCGGCATTGGCCCACTCGCCCACCATTCCGCCGAGTGTATGCTTTTTGTCGCAGCAGAATGTAGCTGAAAGCGATACATCAAAAAGTGGCGTTCCGCAGTCATCACAAACTCCTCAAGATGCGATTACCACTTTAACCAATGCCGACAAAACGTTGGCACAACCAAAGGAAAAGAGCACTCCGGAAAAGGTATGCAATTAAAAAAAAATAACATGTTTAAACCACCTGGCTTATATTTATGTATGGGTGCATTCCAAAACATCAAAATACAAAGCCAAATGTGCGCAACCTCGGTAAGACGCTAATTTTCAACTAGCTTGCGCAAGTTAGACTTTTTCTTCTAGTCTGGTTTAGAAATAAAAGAGACTGATGCTTGGTATTTTAACGTTTTGGAATGCACCCTATATATGTACGGTAACTCAAACAAGTGACCACGTGTAGACTTTTTTTTAGATATTCATATCCTATACATACATATGTATTTCGAGTTAATTTTATTTCTATACAAATATTGTGCAAGCTTTAACAAAAACCATATAAATCACAGTTTTAAAGTTTATAAAAAATTTAGGAAAATTCAACAAATTTCATTACAGTTTCAACATTTTTGGGTATGCAGTTTTATAGTCCATACAATTTTAGTCTGATTAAATGCAAGTTCCAACTGACAACAATTGTAATTTACGAAAGCTGGCGTTAGTTTTTGGACATTTTGCTGCGAACGGTCTTCCCTAATTTATAAGAAATTCGTGCCTACATAGAAAAAGTACAAAAATTCATTAGCAAAAAAAAATATTAAAAAATATTAATTAATTTTAATTAATAATTTTAACTTTAACAATTGCACCCAATTGTTTTGTTTGTTGACGGTGTCAGTAATTTTATTTCATACAAAGTGTGTTTATATATAAAGACAAAAATGAACGGAACTTTCAACAAAAAAGGATCAGTCCAGCGCCAATATCAATATGAATTGAAAAATATTACTAATTAGCTATAGAGAAGCAGATCCACATTAACTTCAATCACATGTACCATCAGCTTATAAATATACATGCATATCGTCGTTTAAAGTACAAAACCGCGTATCAACAAAATGCAACACCGTGTATCAAGATAGTGCAAAAATGTGAGGTTGCATAAATTATTTTCTAGATAGTAAAAACACTCATATTCCAAAATGGTTCTCTTTTTTATAAAGCAATCGCATTTCTGGCTAGTATATTTCAGGACGAATGGATAAGGGTTGAGCCAAGAGCTTGTGTGAGCAAATCCATTTTTTGGCAGCAAATGTCAGTTACAGTTGTCAGTTTGCAAAATGACGAGACGCGGTTTTGTACTTTGACGATATGCCATGACGTGTATGACTACTTGGATTCATTTTTATTTCGTATTATACTGCAGAAATTTATATTAATTTTTATATTAGCCTAGGTCCCCGTATTGGTATTCTTCTTCGTGTTCGTGCTCGTCTTCTCATTATCCTCGTCTTCGAATTTGTGCATAAGTTAGCTAAGTATAAGAAGAATATAGTTAAGAAATAAAAAAATCTCATGCATCTGATGTTGTGATACCTACAAATTCCATGTGCCTGATGAATTTAGTTGAGTTTGCTTTTTTAAATACGTGACAACGCTCCCAAATACAGCTCAGAAATAAAGCCTTTTAATCCCATTTAATTTGATACCCATATTTTTAATAATTGCTTTAACTTATTAAATATTTTGAGTTTACCTTTTTAAAGAAGTTGTAACCCTCTTTAATATTCTAAATATTCAAACTAGGGATATCTTACCACCTTTGTTTCACGTCATATTTTAATATATCATTTAGCTTATGCTTACTATAATTAAATTCTAATTTTAAAACATATGGAAACTCTATTCAAAACATTCTAAAACCAAAACCTTGTTAAACCTTTTCCGACTTACACACATATTGCGATACAAATTTAAATTGTGTATATAATTCCCTTAATTCAAGTTGAATTTAATTTCTTAAATATATGGTACCCATGTCAATTTATACCCATACTTTAATAACTCATAATAATAATAATAACGCCCATGGGGTTTGTTTCCTAAAAAAAAAAAAGAAATAAAGCCCACGGGCGTTATTGCCTTTTCGAAAAAGAAATTAAGCCCACGGGCTTTAAAAAATTTTCACTATGTCAAATTCAATGGCATTTGTAGTCAGATAGGTAAAAACACATTGTCAAATGGAACTAAAATGGTTTGTTGAATGATTTAGATCAGAATAGGTCTTCAGTCGTGGACATGTGCTGCTAAATTGGCTAACTGTCCGTTTTTGGCCCATAATATAATCGGTATGCACCTAAAATCAACATAAAAGTCTACAAAAGCACAATGAGTTGCACGCACATTGCTTTTATTTTCATAAAACATCTAAAACTGCTTACAAGAATTTTTGCTTCAAATAAACATAATAGAATGAAGCTAAAAAAAACTATTAGTAACTATTTGAAGTCCTTGCAAAAAAAGTTATTTATATTTCACGAGAAAATAAATTTAATGGTTTTTATTAATGCAAACGAACGAAATCATTAAACATTTTAATACATTAAAATTTTTTCATTAGCATTAGTTTGGATAATTTCTGTGGTCGTATGGAAAAGTAGCTTATGTCGAAGGGCTGGATTTAGTATAAATCGGCATTCGCAGCATGCGATTGCGAATGACTCACAGCAGCTGAGCTGTTGAACAACGTTTGGCAAATAAACGTGCCAGAAATAGTTCCGATACTAGCAAGTCATTATTCTTATTAAGTCTCATCGAAAAATTTCTCGGCGTTTAAAGAATAAAGGGAATGCCGCATTATACTAAAGCCGGCTGTTCGACATAAGCTACTTTTTCATACGAACACAGATTTAATGAAAATAATTTTCATTAGCATTATATTTTTCAGACTTAATGCATTAAAATTTTTATTTGCATTAAATTTCAAAAATTAATGCATTAAATTTTACATTAACATTAGTGCTTTAAGTACCATTAATGCTTTTTTCACAACTCTGGTGTATATGTACATGTGTATTAGAATTAAATAAATTAAATTCTCAACAAGAAAAGGAACAGGAAAAAGTATAAAGCTAAATAAATACTTTCGTCGATTGTCGAGTATATTGGCGCGCGTGCCGCAGCCGTCCGCGTTTGCCCGCCACCACTGTAAAACCTAGATCGCTGAGAGCAAATATGCTCATCGCATTGAAGGCTAAAAAAACAGTAACAATTCACCTTTAATTTCAAATCGCTTGTCAGTTATTGGCAAAAATACCGTTCGATTTTATGCGTATACTGCAGAAGGGAATTTAACGCAGAACTACACTGTATGCAAAAATAGAGCGCAATTCGTGTAAAATACGTTCCATTTTATGCAAAAGTTTCAGTAAAATAAAGCCAGAGAAAGTATTACTCACGGGTTTTATTTCCTTTTTTTTAAGAAATAAATTAAGCGGGTGTTATTTCCTTTTCTTTGGGCAATAAAGTCCGCCGCCATTATTGCACTTATTTTATTGGTGGGCGATATTTCCCCTTCGAAATGGAAATAACGCCCATGGGCTTTATTTCTTTTTTTTTTTTGGGAAATAAAGCCCATGGGCGTTATATCCGCGGGTCTTCTTGCACTCCACCATTCATTTCACTTATTAAATAATTTAAGTTTTACTTTTTACACGGATGGAATTCCTCTTTAATGTTATAAATGCTCAAAATAAATATTTCATAATACTCCTTTGTTTGACGCCCATATTTCAATATTTCATGTAATTTAATTTAATTCGACTTTTCAAACAGATGGAAATCCTGTTCAAACTATCTTTAAACCAAAACCTCGTTAAACCTTTTTTGTCTGACACTTGTATTGTGATACACATTTAAATTATCTAATACTCTTAATTAAAATTGAATTTAATTATAAAATCAGATGGAAACCCTCCTACATGCAGTTTAGAAATGAAGTTTCTTCAAAGCAATTTTGATTTACATATACTCATATTAAAGTAATTTATTTAACCTATTGCTTATATTGAATCTAACTTTGTAACAAGGTGGCAACCCTCTGCAAAATATTTTCAAACAACAACCTCTTTCATCGGATATCCATATCAGGATATACCTTTCAGTTTTCTGCCTTTATTTAAGTCGAACTTGCTTTTTGAAATAGTTGGCCAGCCTCCTACATATAAATAAGAAATAAAGCATTTTCAAAACTATTTCGATCGATACTCAAGCGTAATAATTGATTTAACTTAAAAATAATGTGAATTTTATTTTTTTATCAGGTGGCACCCCTTTTTTGAAAAAAATAAGAAGTTATTGCACATCCACAGGCCAAGCCCTTTAATTTGATACCTCATTTTGTAAAATCGAACGAACAATACAGATCTGATATGACGAAAAAGGTTTCGCGTATTAGGCATTCATATACAGTGAAACCTCTCCTAACGGACACCTCTATTAGACGGACACCTCCCTTGGGCGGAGATTTTTTCCTATACCAAGTTTTAAGTATACATTTCGGAACAAATTACTCTCTCTTAAGCGGACACTCTCTTGGCCGGACGCGGACAGTTATTTTGCATAAAATTGACACAAAAACTCTATTGGGCGGACGCGAACCTCTTATCAACGGACATTAAGATTTCTTTTCATAACAAATCAAACAAAAACCTCCGTTGAGCGGACGCGAACTCCTCATAGGCGGACTACTAAATGGAAAAAGGGGACTTCCCGCACAAAATGTGATTGTTATGCACACATTTAGTTTGGTTTGCGCAGTGGTTTAGGTTCGTTATTTGAATTGTCAGAAACCCTTGGAGACTGATAAAAACATGAAAACTATTGATGAAAAAGGTACTGACACTGAAAAATATTAAAAATAAAATTTACGTCAATCGACAATTTCCCAGTTTTTTATGTAATGAAGCTATGATTTTATGTAGTTTATGGACTAAAATGTAATATTTATTTTTATTTTGTTATTACTTAATATGTACTTACGCACATAAATGAAATGTGCACTTTTGAAAAAATACATGCACATTTTTGTTTGAACGATGTAATATCAATATCTTTTATTCAAATAAGAAATAGTGACTATTCAATTAATTAAAACATTAAAAAGTTCTAAAATAGGCTTCCCCTCCATTAAGCGGACACCTCTCTTGGGCGGACAAAAAATGACTGACGGTGAGTGTCCGCCCAAGGGAGGTTTCACTGTATACATACATACTTAGATTACTAAAAGAAAAACAGATCCACATTAACTGCAATCAACATATTTACATTAGACTGCATCACTCCCCATACAAAAAAAAATCGGTACTACTTTTCCATTGGAATTATAAAATCTATTATATTTTAAGACGTCCAACAAAATATTTCGGAAAAATATTAAGATTTAAGTGAGCTGCACCGATATGAAAATACCTCCAAAAATGGATTTTTTTTTGAATAAAAATAGTTTCGTAAAGAACTTTTTGAGAAAAGTCCCCTCAGATGACAAAACAGATTAAGCTTAAAATACATATTTGCATAAAAATATTAAAAAAAAAATTTTTGAACGGAATCGTAATGATGAGATTTTTGATGCTGTTTTTTAACTTTTTTCAAAGACTGGTATAGGAAAAACTTGAATAACTGAACCTAAACTCTTCCGGTTTAGACTTAAGAGGTGTCATTGCTAATAAACTGATTCAAAGGATGGAAGAGGAAGGTAGGATGAACGAACGTCATTCAAAGTTGAATTAAGATGTGTTGGTATTCGAAAAAACAAGATGGCACACGAATGAAATTTTTTTTTGACCAGAAATAAGACAGTGTGAAAATACCTTTCTACTGAGTCCCATAAGTCTAAATCAGAATTTTTATTTTTTTTGTTGGCCTAGTTGTTCATGTTTTTCGTAAACCAATCTTTGAAAAAAGAAAAAAAAACAGCATCAAAAATCTCATTCTTACGATTCCGTTGAAAAGATTTGCAAATATTTTTATGCAGAATTTTTAAGCTTAATCTAATTTGTCATCTGGGGGCACTTTTTTCAAAAAGTTCTTTAAAAAACTATTTTTATTCACAAAAAACTTAATTTTTGGAGGTATTTTCAAATCGGTCCAGCTCGCTTAAATCTTAATATTTTTCCGAAATATTTTGGTGGACGTCTATAATAAATTTTGTAATCCCGGTGGAAAAACCGCAACTTTTTTTGGTGATGCAGTCTAATATACATATGTATGTATTTACACAACATACGCTCGGTTAGGTCATAAATATTGCGGCATATGTTACTCAAAAGCCGAATTACCTGCCCACATAAACTTTTTGTCTCCTTCTGTTCTTCCAACGCATGCACGTGTTTGCAAAATGATGACGAATTGATTTTTGTATGGATAATCATTTATGCCCATATATTTGAATAAAATAAACATATGTATTTAGAAGATATCAACCAATACTTCCAATATACCAAACGAAAGGAAAAACCTTGAATTTTTGATTAAAGGAAACCAAAACAAAATCATTTGAGCGGTTTTCTAGCATTTTGGTAATAAAAAATTTCAAAAATTGTTTGCCTTAAAATGCTCAATATTTGTAGAATTTATATAAAATTTGTACACGATAATACTTCTATTGTTCCAAAGAACCTATATCCCGAAAATGAAAGTTATATCTGTAAATGTTAAGTTGCTAGACCACTTTAAAGGCTCAAAATTTACCCCAAAATAAGCCAATATTTACCGTTGCCTCTCCGACAGAAACCGAATTGGTTACTTAAAAAAATATCTGCCGATAGGTTTGGAATTTTGAAATTTGAAACGCCATACTTTGCTTTGAAATCGCTTCATAAGTTCTCATGCAATGAGCGTTTTCGTGAAGCTCTAAAAATTACCACTACAACATTTGAGCATAGCCTCCACATCGAAACGTAAGACGTATTCTACGTCAAAAAAAAAAAGTGCCAAACGTCAACCGTTAAAGTTGAGTTATAAAACAAAGTCACAATTTGGAACGTTTAAATACATTTATTTCAATTGTAATTTTTATCCAATTTTACCTCAAACAAATTAAACGTTTACAATTTTGCATGTACAAATACAAATGCTGAGAATAAAAAAAGAGAAAAAGCATAAGATGACACGGAGAGTAATCGTTTCTAACTTTCTAGGTAACTCAAGTCAGGTCTAAGTCTTATTGGTTATATATAATTGTTTATTGAAAAAAATGGCAGAAAAACTTTTTTCCATTAAAAATTCTTATTTTTGCGAGCGCTAACTGAAAAATGAAGATAGAGGGCTGAAACTTTGCCACAATTTTACTTTTTTTGTGACGGACAACGAAAAAAAAATATTCGTTATATTTGACACAGTCTAATACTTATACATATAATAAAAACTAATACATGTTTTCCCGCTAGAACCTTAAGGGAGATCTCCCAATGTGAGGTATATCTAATATCCCTTTGGCAATAAGATTGCTCGTTTAGGAGGTAAAAGGGATTACTTACGCTCTTAGGACATACAATGTGAAAGGGAGTATACAAAATTGCATGCTTATACACAGAAGCATAGGGAACTCCCCGTATTCGTATACTCCCAAGGGAGTACTCACCGAGCAATCGTACGATGCTCCCAAGTTCTACCGGGTTATGATAGTGAGTTACTGGTATTGGAAATTTGTACACAGCATAGAAGAACACGTAGTAGCGGCCATCTTTGCATACTTTATTTATTATTATTTTTTTGTTTGATTACGTCACTCTTGCAGCAAATATGCGCTATGCACATATGAGTTTAGCCTTAAAAAATATGCGTAACAAAATTTATTTTCTTATTTGGTTTTGAAAAGGTACTTGAAATCGTGCGTGCCGCTGATGCATTCACTTCAGTTCCACCAAAGTCTCCAGCAGAGCATCATGATCAAGATAAAATTCAGAAGACCACAACGGTTGTCATTTCGAAACACACACTCGATACGAATCCTGCGACTGTGGGAGCTCCCTCACCGCCACAAGCAACCGGCACTACTACGACGACGACGACCACCACGACAACACCACCAGTTTCACCAGCACTGGTATCGGCAGCTTCTACAAGTGGCAAAAGAGCGGCCACCGCACCACCTCAGGATGTTGAACAGCCACAACAGCAACAGGTATGTTGATAAGCCTTTGTAAACATATTGCCTTGTATGTTATCTATTAGGCGTTACTTGCATCCCTGTACCATATCCTTGTGTTGTCATGTGCGTATCGAACGATTACATTTGCTCAGCTCTTTGTGTTGTTTTCATGTATCCCACCAACGCCAAATCCAGCGCCAACACCATCACCAACACCAACACACACAATCACAAGACGTACATACATGCATTCTCATTTTGAAACAGTGCTAACAAGCTATTAAATTGTGTCAAAACCAATTTTTCATTCTTCAACGTATTCTTTTGCATTTGTATGTTGTTTTATTGTTATTTATGTTGCTAATATATTTTGTAACGAGGAAAATGTTGAGCAAGACAATGGCTCTTAGGAACGTTTGTATATACTAATACTTGTTAACCAAACCAATAAGAACTTTTGCCACAACATTCCGAGGACTAACCGCGAAAATAACATAAGGATTTTTTTTTTTAAAGAGACTGATGTAGAAATTCTCTAAAATCTTTTACTCATGTCCCTGTAAAATATTAGTTCAGAGAAAGCTTTGCTTACAGAGCTATAGAGCTATAAATTTTATCGTAGACGACACACCTTTTTCGTGGCCGCGAACATAATTGATCATTTCAATCGCCCCAACAGGCTTCTATCGCAATCAATTATTTCCCAAACTGTACTCAATGTAACGTCGGAACAAGATGTCTAAATTCAGTTTTTTGTGTTAGTACCTATTTACTTGTTGATAAAAACCAATATGGAACAGACGTCTTAGGGCTTTAACAAAATATTAAACAAAGGTTTGTATCCATGTTAAACCATAAACAGGTTTTGCGTGGGTTAAGGTTTCCGTTATTTGGTCACTAATTAATCTTGTTATGAATAAATTGACTCCAAGCATTCCAAATTCCTGTCTTCAGAGGCCTACAGTAAAATTTCCCCCGATATTTTTTGTAGTAGGTCTTTTTAGCCCTTTCCGTTCCGTTTATTTGCATACAAAATAGCAGTTGGGTTCACAATGTTTCACAAAAATGGTAAGCAGAAAATTTTACTAGGTTAACAGAAGACAAAAAAATCGTCAGATTAAACGCTATAGACATTTATTTATATAAATTTGGTTTAATACTACATATTAACTATAAGTTTATCGTCTTCTTTTTTATTGGCGCTTTAACTGCTGTGTGTGTGGTGTGCTTAACACCAGTCGTTTTTCTTCTGCGCCAACTGGCGCCAATTAGAAATGCTATGCTCACCGTTAAATCGTCTGCGGTATTCGCCATCACCAATGCGTAAAGGTCCATACATCGTTCACATAATATTTCTTTCGAAAACTCCAAGAGCCGCTTCATCAGATGTTTTCATTATCCATGCTTCCGCGCATACACCGGCCCAGGCATGATAAGGGACTTATAGAGTGTGATTTTTGTACGACGAGAGAGGACTTTACTACTCAATTGCCTACTCAGTCCAAAGTAGTACTTGGCAAGTGTGGTTCTCCATTGGATTTCAAGGCTGACATTATTGGTAATAATGCTGGTTCCCAACCACCACCAGACCCATTCGTTTTGCTTCTCTATTTAATCGCGAGAAGGCAGAACAGACGTAGCCCTTGTTTTAAGCGATAATGTCGATTCATCGGCATACGCCAGCAAATTTATGCTCTTGCAAAATATTGTGCCTGAGCTAGAGGGATGCATGAATGCATTCAAAACAGCTTTTGAATTATTCATATACAAAACGAATGAATGACTTTGGCTTCAAATTTTTTTGAATTTGAGCGAATAGCTGTTCTGATATTTGTGTCGACATCACAATATTCAAACAAAGCCAAAATAAATTGAATTGAAATAAATGACAATTTTTTGTATGAATATCCAAAAATCTTTTTTTCTATGCACATATGTACAAACCCACTAGAACTTGAAGGGAGATCTCCCTATGTGAGGAATAAAGGAGTACTCCCCTTGAACTGATTTCGGAGCAATAAGAGAGATTTGTCGGTGTTATACTCCTATATTACTCGCTTAGGAGTCAAATGGGAGATCTCCTATGCGAGCAACTAAAGAATGCTCCCTGAGGCATGATCTAGGATCAATAAACGAGATTTGTCAATTTTGTACTCCTGTATTGCTCGCTTAGGAGCGTAATGGGAGATCTCCTAAGCGAGCAACTACAGAATACTCCCTGAGACATGATTAGGGAGGAAAAGCGATGTCTCCTAAACGAGTAATAAAATATTGCTCCATGAGGCATGATTTGGGAACAATGAGCGAGATTTCTCGTTTTTGTACTCCCGTATTACTCGCTTAAGAGCAAAAAGCGATGTCTCCTAAACGAGTAATAAAATATTGCTCCATGAGGCATGATTTGGGAGCAATGAGCGAGATTTCTCGTTTTTGTACTCCCGTATTACTCGCTTAGAAACAAAAAGCGATGTCTCGTAAAAAGAGAAATCCAGGAGGGTATTAATTACTGACTACAATGATTTTGTAGATTCCGATAAATTTTTATCAAAAAGACATTTAAGACGCCTTGCGAAAAAGGAGCTACAAAATTTAGTTGTGAGTAACGATTTAATTGCAGAAGCGGAAGAAAAATATGCATATAGTAATGTTGATGTAAACGAAGAAAGCGAAAGCCCCAATTGCTCTAAATATGATGGCGATGAAGAGCCATCGCTTACTAAAAAATCAGCAATATGGGCAATAAAAAATCGTGTCCCGAGGACAATGTGCAATGAGCTTCTCGCTATTTTGAAAAGAGAAAATACCACAGGCCAGCGAAATTTAAAATTAATTATTTTATGGCTTTTCATGCAAGTTGCTAAAAATCCTAAAATATACATGACATCAATAAAAAATATTGAGAAAAAAAACCAAAGATGTATTTTAATTTTACGGTTATACCAATCAAATTTTAATTTATCAGCCTGTTAAAATTTAAAAGGACAAAATTTTGTTCAGAAATCGCGCACTAGATATTAAATAAAATATAAAAAAATAACAATTATTGGAGGAGGAAAAACAAAATTTAAGTTTCGATGGCCTGTGTACTTAATCTGTTTGATTTTACAAGAAAAAAGAATAAGTTTAATTTTTTGTTACAATTATTTATTTAAACATAAATAAATGAATCGAAAACTTGTTTTCACCGAATGGAAAATATACTCATTTTTAATCAGTGTAAAAGTAGAAAAGGCTCTTTAATTACTCCCTGAAGAGATTTCGGGATGACTTTTATGGGAGTCCTCCTTTATTGCTCGTTTGGGAGGAATGTGGGATGACTTTTATGGGAGTATTCCCTTATTGCTCGTTTGGGAGTAATATTGGATGACCTTTATTACTCGTTTGGGAGGTTTCTGGGAGGTTATTATGGGAGTACTCCCGTATTGCTCCCTTAGGAGGTTTGTGGGATGATATTTATGTGTATGCTCCCCGATTGCTCGTTTAGGAGGTAAAAGGGATTACTCCCCCTCCTAGGACATACAATGTTAAAGGGAGTATACAAAATTACATGCTTATACACAGAAGCATAGGGAGCAATGGGGAGTATTCGTATACTGCTCAGGGAGTACTCACGGAGCAATCGTACGATGCTCCCAAGTTCTACTGGGAACATACAATGTATGTATGTATGTATTGCTGCGCTCCTCCCAGTAGAACTTGGGAGCATCGTACGATTGCTCGGTGAGTACTCCCTTGGGAGTATACGAATACTCCCCATTGCTCCCTATGCTTCTGTGTATAAGCATGTAATTTTGTATACTCCCTTTAACATTGGATGTCCTAGGAGGGGGAGTAATCCCTTTTACCTCCTAAACGAGCAATCGGGGAGCATACACATAAATATCATCCCACAAACCTCCTAAGGGAGCAATACGGGAGTACTCCCATAATAACCTCCCAGAAACCTCCCAAACGAGTAATAAAGGTCATCCAATATTACTCCCAAACGAGCAATAAGGGAATACTCCCATAAAAGTCATCCCACATTCCTCCCAAACGAGCAATAAAGGAGGACTCCCATAAAAGTCATCCCGAAATCTCTTCAGGGAGTAATTAAAGAGCCTTTTCTACTTTTACACTGATTAAAAATGAGTATATTTTCCATTCGGTGAAAACAAGTTTTCGATTCATTTATTTATGTTTAAATAAATAATTGTAACAAAAAATTAAACTTATTCTTTTTTCTTGTAAAATCAAACAGATTAAGTACACAGGCCANCTAAGCGAGCAATACAGGAGGACAAAACCGACAAATCTCGTTTATTGCTCCCAAATCATGCCTCGGGGAGTATTATTTCGTCGCTCGCTTAGGAGATCTCCTATTTGATTCCTAAACGAGTAATAAAGGAGTACAAAACCGACAAATCTCCCTTATTGCTCAGAAATCAGGTTAAGGGGAGTACTCTTTTATTCCTCACATAGGGAGATCTCCCTTCAGGTTCTAGTGGGCTATTACATATGAAAAAAACTGTTTGCTGAAAAAAAATTTTACCGAACTTAGTTTCAATGATTTGAATGTTTTCCATTCATTCATTCACATTCTTCCATTTGAAGGTAGAAAATATAAAACAAAATGTATATTCATAACTTACAAAATTCCAAACGCTGAGTGTTTTGTATGTGAAGTAAAATATTCAAATCTACTGTACTCTGTTTGGCTAGAAGTTTGAATGAATTCATGCAGCTACACTGATAAGGTCCAATCAGTTCGTGGGCTTCAGGCTTTCACATAATAGACTCGATAAAACCTTGTAAGCTATGCTTAGAATGCTGCCCGCGGTAGTTAACGCGTATGGCGGAATCGCATTTCTTATGGATCTTGTTCGTTCTACCACTTCGAATGGCCTGGGTTCGAGCCCTGGTCAAAGCAGTATCGCAAAAAATATAGAAACAATTTTTTTCTTAACAGCGGTCGCCTCGGCAGGCGAAGGCAAACCTCCGAGTGTATTTCGAAGGCGGCGTAAAACTGTAGGTCCCTACATTTTTGTAACAGC